AACGAGAGATTGAACTTTTTTCTTTTTCTTTTTCTTTTTTTGGAAGGAATCTCGCCGAATTTCGGTTTTTAAGCTGCGATTTTTCTTTGAGCTTGTGGGAAACATATAGAAATACACCTTGAAGATAAAAATAGAAGTTAAAAGGTGGAGTTTTAAATTCTCTTAGAAATTTCCTAGATAGTGATTGGTATTTTTCGAAACTAGTTTTGTGAAACTGTGAAGAACAATATTTCAAAATACTTTAAAATAAATATCAGATTACTTGAGATAATCATTATTCTTCAATTATAATATATTCTATTGTGAATTTAAAATTGCGCTATCCTTTTTTGGATTCAATTTGGAATATTCCTCGAACGAGATTCGAACGGATCTTTAATCATATCACCCTCTCTGTATCTGTAGAAAAGCGAGGAGGAAGGTGGATTCGGCGATTAATCGTACACGGAAATGGAAAGACGTGGAAACGAGCGCGGTCGCTTCTGGCGGGACATTGGCCAGGACGAATAAGTAATGTAGAGGTCCATTATGCTGAAACGGTGAAGGGTCTTCGAGCAGGGTCAGCCAATCCCCCGGAGGGCCGTTAAAGTGAAATACTTCTGAATGCAAGGTGGCTGACCGTCTCTCACCCCTCCCTTCCTTTCGTCCCCTTTCTTCTCTAGTTTGGCCGAGGCCCTCGTACGAGAAGCATAGGTAAATCGTTGTTATCTGGACAGTGATAAACCCGTGAATGGAGTTCGCGCCTGGTGAAGCTAGGGGAGGCGTATCCACCACTGCTACGTGGATACCGATCGCCAAATGGATGGCTCTGTTTACGCGGATCGGTCTCGTCCTCCGCTTCTATTTCTATTCCTATCTGGATTCTCTTGGAGGCCTGGGAAAAGGAATCTATTATCTTCGAAGTAGAGTGTATATTCTTCTGTATGAGTATCTTGTCTGGTGCAATTTTGTAAGATTTTTCACGTTGGAAAAGAAAGGAGAAAATTAAAGCGGAAGAATTCGTTGGTAGATTTTTTTTATTAAATTGGCTTACAACAACGTTGAAAAAAAAAGGTTAACTCTCCAACGTTCTCGATGGGAGAAACTTAAATTGTTGCACATTGAATACGAAATGTAAATTCCAATCGCGGCTCGTACTTTCATCGCAAAATACATCAGTCCAATCTTCTGCCTCTGGACTCTGGTTGTTACTTCTTTGTTATTGCCTCTTGCTAATCGTTATTTCATATATACATTCAACGTTTCTACTAATAAATTTTCTTATGTCATAAATTATAGAAGAGAAATCGGCACAAATTCTTAGTAAAATTCTTTACGCAGGAAACCTGTATTTATTTTACGTACCATGGAAATGATAAAATTCGAAAAATAATTATCTAATTCAGGAAAGGCGATAATATCGAGGATTATCCCCTTCAAGGACTGAAAGAAAGAGAAGAAGGTTTTTATTTCGATCGATCGAGCCGCGATTCTCGCGAGGAAGAATCGTAATTGAATTTTCCGGTGCGTGCACGCGAGGGCACCGGTCGGTTTCGCCGCCCCTTTCAGGGGTGGTTCCGTTTGTCTCCATTTCCTGGGCTGGAGGGGAGCATGCAAACACCACCGAGATTAAAGAAACCGTCCGTGCTCCATGCCACATCTCGTCTCCTCGAATCCCGTGGCCTCGAGACACGAGCAACCCTCCTGGAAATAGTCAACATTCGATGCTAATATCGTAGAAGATCCACACTTTCACCTTTGTTCAAATTAAAATCTTGATTAAAATGTATCGATCGTATCTTGAGAAGAATATCAAAAAACCAATTTAAATGTTTATCAAATTTAATTATTCTCTATTTCAAAACGATACAAGAGATTATAATAGAACGAGTAGACGAAATATTTTTCTGATCAACAAAAAAAGGAATATCAAACGGATACACTTCCGCTTGAAATAATCCATGTAAATGCTCGATATTATTGCGACGATTTTAAGATTTCTCTAATAAACGAACGAGTTTAATAATTACCAAGAAATGACCGATTATTACGCAACACGGGTTCGTTAATTAAAACAATATATTATTTTACAGGCGAATATTCGATCGAAGTGAGTTCCATAAATAAAAAAAAAGAGCGTCCAATTACCAAGCATTATTACCAGTTACCTATTAATTATAGAGAAAATGGAGATACCTCGAGGTTATACTCCGAGATACTGGATAATCATCCTACCGTTCGAATTCCTCATTGTTAATTATTCTCTCTATTCCGTTAATTGATGTAAATTCACGGAAATTCGAGATTCCACGAAGAAGAAATGGATCAAAAATGATTCGATCCCTTCCTATCCTATTGCAACTATGGAGGGAAGAATGGAGGGTCGGGCTTGGAGGCCGGCACTCGAGGTCAGCGGCCATTCTCTGATGATATTGATTAGCCGACGCCCTTAGTTAGCGCCAGCTACACTTTCCTCTCCTCTCCTCCTTCCTTTCAGTTTCCTTTCCTTTCCTTTCCCGCGAATTTCCTCGGCCACCCTTCGAATATCCACGCGATGGATCTCTCTCCAGTCTTTCCACCCTCCGTTTTTGTCTTCTTCCTCCTCCTCCTCCTCCTCCTTTTCTTCTTCTTCTTCCTCCTCCTCCTCCTTCTCCTTGCTCGTACTACGGGAAGTTCGCTTTCTCGCCCTCGTTAGCGAGGGGCGCGAGATGGAAGAAGACAGGCCTAGAGACTAAATCATTCATCGAGCAAATAATGCCGGGGCTGACTCACGTCTCACGAGCGATATTTGCGCGTGGGGCGAGGAAATCCCGATTCTCTCCACGAGATTTTGGGGATGGAATATACGGCAATAGTAATAATAATAATAATTTCGAGAAGCAGAATAATAATAATAATAATAATAATAACAATAATTGGAAAAATATTACACACGATCGGACCAAGCAAGTTTAAAGTTTAAAGAGTGTGTACTGTGGAAGAAGAAAAGGATATTGAGATAAAAATTGATCGCTTTAAAGAAAAAAAAATAGGATAAAGTTTCCACTTGATATTCCACCCGTCGCTTTTCCATTTCCGAGAATGAAAGAAAAATTCGATACGTCTCGCGGTATTACGATGGGGGGGGAGGGGTGTAATTAGACACTGCGAACGCTGGATCAACATCCAGAGGCCGGTATTGTTCCCAGAAATTAAGGGAAACGAGGGAAAAGTCGGGAAAAGTGGCATAGGGATAGGGGATCCGGAGGGTTGCTAATTACGCGAGACTCGTGAGGGGAGAGAAGCCATTTTCTGCGCAGACACAAGGGTCGTAGCGTTATATTAATACAAGGGGAGGGGGAGGGGGGAAA